AAAACTGTAAATTTTTTAAGTGGTTTACTAGTCATTTTCAAAACTTTAAAAGTACATACCACAAGTTTATCATTCAACAAATACTTGATTTAACAATTTTTTTACGGATTGAAATCATGAGTCAGTTGAAGCTAGATCACCATGGAAAACCTAGAAGCACTGGATGGCCGTTTCGTCCTAGTATGGGACTTCTCAGTGGCAGTGCGCATCCACGATCCCGCACCCCGCAACATTCAAACCCAGGACCTATCAGTCTCGCGCCAGCCGCCTAATCAACTAGACCAAAGAGCCGGCTGTAATCCAACGGTGTTAATGTCTAACTTCAACCAATCCACCGAATTGCGCCACCGTACACCATTGTCTTCAGTGAGCTGATATCTCACAACAGACCTGGTTGAACTCCACTGGTCACGGTTTTTCATTACCACCCCCATTTTCTGTTAAAAAGTGTGGGGGGGGGATAAAAAAACAGTCTTTTTTTCCATCATAATATATAAGGTTTAGTGTCTCTCAAAAAAAATTTTGTATTGTTGATTTAGCCCCTGTTTCATAGATTTTACAAGAATATTCTAAAATTAATTGTTTTACACTTGAATGTTAAACAATTCATTCATTATTATAATTGATCAATGACAAAAGAGTTTATATTTGATAAATTTGGTTACTATGGTTACTATTTTCTGGTCTTATTGTCTTTCTTTTATATTATGATATTCACTTGGTATTGTTTAGCTTGTATCTTCTCATTGAGGACTTGGTAGTTGAGTGGATAACGCGATGGCGTTTGAAGAGAATCATACTACTGGGTTCGAGTCCCACAGTGAACATCAACTCTGAGATGCAGGTACATCCAACTGATGAGTCTCAAATAGAACGAAATGCCCATCTTGGATTCTACTGCTTGCCAATATCTATCTTTGCTTAGAATGCTTGTGAATCAAGACAATATCGAGACAATTCGCACAGGATGCATATATGCCAATAATGAAAGACTGACCAATTGATGTCCTAAACATCGACGGAAAGATTCAAGTAAACAATACCAAGTGAATCTAAACTTCACTACATAAGCAAGTGGCTGACAGGACTCTGTAGCTAAATGGTGTTACGTCCTAGTGAAGATTACATTACGAGTAACGTCTGAGGCTTATTAATGAACTATTATTATTTATATATTCTCATGGTATAAATATTCGGTAACTAGATTATGTATATTTATATTCCTCTTATTATAAGCTTTATTTTGACCCATAGTTCATAATTGTACGACTTACGGTTGTTAAGCTATGTTCAGTTGATTAACTACTGCCTCCCATGTTCACAGCCACTTTTTGGCTTTATTGTGTACAAATGTTATTTCCTATTTTATGTTTCGTTGACGTCTGTTTGTTTGATATATAAACACAGTATGTTTGAAATATATGATTCCCATAGTGGAAGCTGGTATTGGTGTTCTGGACTCAATTGGACGGGCTAGGCGGACATAGGACCAATAAAGACGCTAGACTGCTCATACCGGTTGGACGTCATTGGTTTGGCACAGTGCTAAGATTGTATATGTCGTATTTTGATTGGTGGATAAATCCCGTGATAAAAATTCGGACATAAAGTCATAACAAATGAATAACACGATGGTGATCGTAGCGAACGGTACTCAGTTCGAGTCCCAGAGTGAACATCAACTATGGGATGTATTTCATTAAACATCACAAAGGTACTCTAAATTTTACATTTTTTCAGCTAATGTTCATTCTTGATTGAAAGCATCCATCGATAAGCTAAACTTCCGTCTAATATACGATTGTTCGCTCCGAAATTTTCTAGTTAATCATAAGTGACTGGTGATGTTCAATATTGTCAGGAATGTGACAGTAATAATTGACGTGATTCGACAATTCTAGTTAATTGTTTTAAGAAGAAGATATAGAATAGTTAGATTCTAACCAGGTAGTTTTATGAATAATCACTCATTATAATGTTTGGGTGTTCTAGGCTTGGTCTCAGGCTGAACGTTGAATATTTTGGCTTATAGTGGTATTAAAACGAATGCTGACTAATAACTAAACCCATTAATGAATAAATTTAAACAATATCAGTATGGGGATTTGTGAAAATTGTATTAGTTTAACAGTTGAATTCAATCAAGTCAATCTAAGCTAGATCACTATTGACACTCGGGAAGCAAAGAACGGCTGTTTCGTGGATACTCACTTCTGAGGAGACGAATAAATCATGAGTACAATGCAAAGTCGTGCATGGAGGGCAGCTGAAAGATGCATTCCAAGTGAGGACCAGAGATAGATAAGGCTACTTAATTTTTCCCTTCCTCTTTCTTCTAGTGGTCGACTGGATTATGAAGACTTTGACAGCAGAGAGAAAGCAGGAAATACAATGGACAGCTCGGAATCAATTAGAGGATTTGGACTTCGCAGATGACCTGGCCCCTCTATCCCATACACACACATGAACAAATGCAGATAAAGCCAACTAGTGTAGCAGAAGCCTCTATATCAGTAAGCATCAACATACATAAAGGAGAAAGCAAGGTCCTCAAATACAGCACGGAGAACACCAACCCAATCACACTTGGTGGAGAAGCTCTTGAAGATGAAAAAAGCTTCATGTACTTCGATAGCATCATCGATGAGAGTGGAGGATCCGATATAGACGTATAGGCAAGGACTGGCAAAGCAAGGGCCACATTCCTACAGTTGAAGAACATATGGAACTCAAAACAACTGTCTGCAAGCCAACATCAAAGTCGGAATCTCCAATACGAACATCAAGACAGTTCTACTATAGGAAGCTGAAACGTAGAGAACTACTACAACCATCGAAAAATGCAAGTATTCATAAACAGTTGTCAAAGCAAGAAGCTCAATGTCCGTCGACCGGATACCATGGGCAACAACTTTCTGTAGAAGAGTACAAACCAGCTTTCAAATGAAGAGGAAGGGAGGAAAAGCTGTTGGAAGTGGATAGGACAAACATTGAGGAAATCATCAAACTGTATCACGAGACAAGCTCCAACTTGGAATCATGAAGGGAAACGGAAAAAGGAAGACCAAGGAACAAATTACCTCGGAAAATTAGAATCAGATATTAAGAAGATGAATAACAACTGGAAAGAATTGACCAGGACAGAGTTGGATGAAGAATGTTGGATTGTGGTCTAACCTCCTCCTCCTCCATGAAGGGTAAGAGACGTAAGTAAATGTAAATAAGACAGTAACTCAATAACGACAACATTAAAAATATCACTTATAAAATAAATCGATCTAATTGAAAAGTATCGACAAAACAAAATCTGATCATCAGTGTGCTACTCATAGCATCATTTGTTATTCATCAGTTATTTGATTTATTAATAACTTATGTTAGTGATCAGAAAAATGGTTTTGTGAAGATTATAGTGATTTTAATAGTTGATTTCATGAATTAATTCAAGCTAGACCATTGTGAAAAAACTGAAAGTAGATGGTGGTTGGAGGTAGTCGACATGAAACCCTGGACCCGAGTTTCGTGCTACAAGGCACTCGTCATCAGCAAGGTGTACCTGTAATCTTGAGGTAACTGGTGCTCCCTGGCACATTCGATCCCATGTCACCCAGCTTCACAGTCAAAGATGTTCAGGGTTTCCTGTCGACTACCTCCAACCACCATTTAATCTCAATATATAATGCACATAGTATCGAGTCACCTAGACTGATGGCCACATTGCAACATGGTCGATAACATTCGTTCTGCACTGATTAAGGACTTGACACACATGACGTTGATCACCACCACTCAGTAATCAATCAATTTTGGATAACCTTAAAGTACTAAACAGCTCTTTCGTCCTAATATTAAACTCCTCAATAATATGTACCCATGATCCTACCCTATGGAGATTATGATACAATCTTTCTCTATGAGAAACACTAAAATAAAAATTCACTTTGTATTGTTTGACTCGTATCTTCCCATTGAGGTTTAACACTGCAATTGATCAGTCTGTTATTGGCATATGTGTATACTGTGCGTATGCCTCGATATTACCTTAATTCAAAAGCTATTTGTAAGCAATGATGGATAGTAGCTAGTAGTGGAATCCAGTTTGACGCACGTTTCGTCCTATTTGGAACTCATCAGCTAGATGTACCTGGATCTCAGAGAGTTGATGTTCACTCTGAAACTCGAATCCAGTACCATTCAATTCAAACTAAACTAAAAGTTGATAAACTTTGTAAAGTACAATATGATTGTATATTCGTAGTTACATTTATGTAAAATATACATTAAGCACACAGCTATGTATTTCTATGAATTATACATATACAAATAAGAAAGTGTATTATAAGTTACTTTTCCTAAAAAAAAAAAAAGAAAAGAAAAGAAAAGAAAAGAAAAAAAACATAAAAAATAATTATATCATCTCTTTAGTATGAGTAATAATCAACTCTAATTTCATTCAATGAATGTATTTCCTTATGGAATGCAAAGATATATATATATAAATATAGCTTGTTTGTGTATGTGTCTCTCGCCCCCCCCCACCTGTGTGTGTGTCTCTCCCCCTGTGTGTGTGTGCGATAGTAACGTAATAATGAATATTAAATTACAATAAACATTGAATAATAACAGCAACAGCAACAGCAACAACAACAACAATAAGAATAAAACATTGAATACATTGAATACAAACTTCCGGTAATTTTGAATTAATCCTCCACGTACAATTTCTGTTTGTTTGTTTGTTTATTCTTTTCTTTTCTTTCTTTCTTTTCTTTTCTTTATTGTTTTTTCTTTGTGTATAAACCGTGAAGAAAAAATAGGAGTTTCTTATTGAATGAAACATCCTGAATTATACTTAATTTATTGTAATAAGAGTCATAATAATAATAATGATAATGATAATAATCATTTACATTTACATTCAGTATAGATGAAACTAAGTAAATTCAATTCAATCTACATTGTTGTTCTTGTTGTCGTTGTTGTTGTTGTCCTTCTTCTAGTTAACTAGAACAACAATTACGTAATGGTTTGGTTGAATGGTTTAATTTAAATGATTGTGATTTCGATGATTGATTTGATGATATTGAATTATGAATTTCATTGATAGTTGTTGAATAACCATTTGATTGTTGAGTTGAATTCGTTGATGAAATGGTACACATTGGTGTTTGAATTTCAAGTAAACGTCTGTAAAGAAGAGAAAAAAGAAATGAAATAAATGAAGTGATGATTAGTAGGTTCAGTTAGTCAATCAGCTACAATGTAGGAGATCAGGCACATATATATGTAGTGTGGCATCGAGTCGCGGTTGACTATGATCACCATTACAGAAAGGTTACGTACCAAATATCAGAAGGCAATTGAAGGTTGTAGCGAAGTATATTTGTTAGTGATCTCGTGGTATTGAAAGATTACCGAGATTGTACCAAAGGAGTACAAGCGGATTTACTGAGCAAACGTTAGTTCGTACAAGGTCACAATCAACGGAAGGAAGAATAGAAGAATAATGAATGTCTTTAGTATAGTTAAACAAAACAAGTCCAGTAACACAATCACTGGTACTGTGGTACGTGTTACTTATATTGATATAAATAGTATATTATGCGTGTCAGGAATGTAATGTCTAGCAGCAGAAGATGAGGGAAGATCAAGAAAGCAAGAGTGGGAATAGAATGCAATTTGTATGAAAGTGTAAGAACAATGAAGTCTGAGGCATTTTGAGACAATCGGTGGACATTTTGCAAATTAACGATTTAATATATAGTTCTCAGATTTTATTGAGATACTTTGTAATTTTGTGCCAAATACATTCGATTGCCCCCACCCGTGTACTGTTCACTGCAGTGCGATTGGTTATAATAATAGTTGTTCAAACTAAAACAATCGCGTTCTCTTGATAAAAGTAGGTCATTCCATATGTATCAATCCAAGTTGTCATATCTCATTAGCACAATAAGATTAACACCGAATTCATAGAAGTAGTTAATTCAATGGTGGAAGTAATATATAAAAATAAGTTATATAATACAGTTATATAATATACCCTTGTGGGCCAGGGTAATTATACATTGGTTTTCAAGAGAACCAGATACCATCTGGACTTTCACATAAAAACCCGAACAGTACAGCTCAACCCCGTTTAGCAGGGGAACCAGACACCGTACAGGCTTTAACGCTACAATCTGAATAGTACAGCTCAATCCTGTGGCGCAACCACACAGGTACCAATCATCTTGGTGGACCATTCACACTATTCATATACACATTCACATCACATGTATAGTTATTCCGATCAATGATCGCGTGAATCAAGTATGCACAGCACGAACAGGCCAAAGTTGACCTATTCCGCTTACACGACAGTCAAACTCGTTAATGTTAGCAATGGAGACATGCCTTACAATGTCCCAATGACAATGGCCCTCGGGAACACTGAAAAGCAACCACCAGTATGAATGAAATCAGTTAACCAGCAAACTAATTTTTTGCATGAACAGTCAGCAAAACTTGCCAAAGCAATTCCGAACCATCCACAATAACAATGGCAAACCTCCAGCCTCATATGAGACCTTCAGCTCTATATAACCATATAGTTTATACTGCATACAACACATGTATAAGGTAGTAAGCGAAATAGCCCAGCCTGAAGCGTTAGGGCTTAAATAACGCTTAAAACCCACTGTCTGATATCGGATAAAAATAAGATTGTGTATAAGGATATAGTACAGGAAGAAAGATTAAGTACGTAGAAAGAAAGATATGAAGCAATTTAAATCTCATAGTTTAAGAAAGGACAGTGAATGTATACACCGACGCCATTGTGATCAATTTTGAGTCATGTCATCAAGAGTCTCTACAGTGTGGGCAACCGGAAAGTGATAACCGCCTTTATACCTTTAACATCAATCAAGAGCACTGATTAATAGGTTAAAAATAAAATTGAAAAACAAAAGCTTAATACTATACGATTGAACTAATTCACAAGTGGATCTAAGCTAGATAATCATTGAAAACTTGGAAGCAATGTATGATTGTTTCATTCTAGTATGAGACTCGTCAGAAATGCTGATTCACGACCTTATACTCAGGATCCGATCTCTAGATCTTTAGTTTCGCACATGAATGCTTTAACTTGAAGATCATTGATCCAGTATCCAACAGTGTTAATGTTTAATTTTAATCGATACATGATACTGCGCTGCTCAACTTCCATTGTCTAGGATGGTTAACTATTTCACACCCGATATAGATTAGACTTCACTGGTCATGGCTTGTCATTAGAATTCTAGGAGTTTTATTTTGAAACTAGTTACTAGTGAGCATATAATGTTCATAATTCACAAAATAAATTATAGTAAAATAGGTTATTATCAATGTTATTGGGAAAAAATGGTGAGAAAAATGCTTTGAAATGAAAACTTAGTTATATTAGTTCCCCGATGACTCGTTTTATACCTATTTAACAAGTATTCAATCAACAATTGGTAGCTAAGAATTACCCAATCAGCGCGCTAGTCAGTACTTGGAGAACATTCTAGAATCTTCTCATGTGAAAATTATAAATGTACTAACGTTTCTCTTATTGTGCTTCTTACTTCCACCTAACTTTGTTATTTGGAATATAATTTCGTTCCTGTTCAACCATGTTCTGATTTGGGGAGTTTGTCGAGTGAATTTGTATCCAAGAATACTAAGCCATAGGAATAGCTGGATTGTAATATGAAAGGATTATAATAGTGGCGACGGGGATTATAAGAACTACAGTCTAATAAGCATAAATGTACTATCCAGTTTGTATCAATCATTTCCTAGTTGAACTTAGTAAATTTTAGTGTTTATAGTCATGTATTTTACTGACATAGCGATGAATGTGATAAGTCTAAAAATGATAGAGTATACAAGTGATTACTATCTAATCTGCATTGACACTTCGCTAATAAAATATTTCAATAGTTGAAATCATGAGTCAATTAAAGCTAGACGACTATGGAAAAACTGGAAGCATTAGACGGCAATTTCGGCCTAGTATGGGACTAGGACTCCTCAGCAGTGCTCATCCATGATCCTACATCAAAGTGACTCGAACCCAAGACCTTTAATCTCGTGGGTGAACGCTTGAACTCTAGACCACTGAGCCGGCATCCAACGATGTTAATGTCTAACTTCAACCAATCCACCAAATTGCGCCACCGTACACTATTTGTCCTCAGTGAGTTGATATCTCATAAAAGACCTGGTTGAACTCCACTGGTCATGGCTTCTCACCAGAACTCCAGGAAATGCCTCATGGAGACAGTCATTAGTGAGTAGATGATTACTGCATGATTCTCAAATTTTACTAAGATTTTCTGTAATTTTGTATTCAAATTATTTCCACTTGTGTTCTCATTCAGTACAATAACTTTAAACGTTTTAAGGAAGTTTTTCCAGTGAAAACTACACTCTAATATTAAGTAAGGCTCAGGATAGATTGAGTTGGAGAATGCTGGTTAATGGTCTATGCTCCATTGGGAGGGGGGGGGTAACAGACGTAATTAAAATATTACAACAAAATTTTTTTTTGAATTATCTTACTCAGCTATACAATGAAACATTGAATCGACATTAGCCCCAGTTTTAGCACTTGTCTCCCAGAATAATGCATCCGTTTGCTGAAAAGCAATTTAATAAGGAAACAGATTTGATTAAAAAATCTTTGTATCTAATTTAATCAATAAATCAAAGTTAGAAATAGATTAACCATGTGAATAATCTTGTCATAACCTGGTTACATAAGAAGGAGAGGTGAACGCTTGCATTATATCAATTCTTATGTGACTTAATTGGGAGGCTTTATAACCATATTTGCTTAGAACGAAGAGAATTTGTTTGTAATATAGCATTCACTAGTTAATTCAACAAATGAAATCATCTAGTGCGATTTCTGGATATCATTAACAACAGGGAGAGAACAAACCCAGATTCTGGTTGACTAGGAGATCAGAAAAATACTCTGAAATCGGATAGGACATACATTATGGAAATCATCAATCTGTATCACGAGGCAAGAACTAGCTTAGAGTCCTGAGACGAAACGGAAAGACCAAAGAATACACTGCACAGGAAATTAGAAGCAGACATGAAAGGAATAATAAGCAATTGGAAACTACCGGAAAGGATTGGCCAGGACAGATTTGAATGGACAATGCTATTGAGCGGCCTACGCTCCTACATGAGGGGTAGGAGGCGTAAGTAAGAAGGTGCAATTTGCTTGTATACAGAGCCAGTTCATAATATAGAAAAGCATAGTAAATTAGCATATTTCAAAGATCGGTGGTAACCAGTTAGGATGAAGTAAAGCTCATTATGTGCAAAAGTAAGAAATTATTATCGGAAGGGGTTTTGTGGAGGCTGTAGTAATTTCAATAGTTGAGATCATGAGTCAATCGAAGCTAGTGGTTGTGCGCTCGCGCTCGAGACCGATAGGTCCTGGGTTCAAATCTCCATAATATGACAAGCGTATCTCGAATCTTTCTCTGAGATTTTATCACGACAAAATCTTATTGAACAGTTTATTCTTTGATTGTACTAATCATTGCAAACCATTCAATCATTTCATTTTTATTTCACGTTAGGTTAAAAATGCATGTAAAGAAATGCAATTTAAAGGAATTCATATGTCAAGTTTCCCGTAAATTAAGGGACGTATTTGTTGTGGACTGATAATGTTCATTGTGATTATTTTGGATGTATGTAGGTGAAAGAATAATTTCTCAGGTTGGCGCTTTTTTAACGAGTTAGTTTTCTAAGGGATGGGGTCAATAACCCCATGATCAACCCTCCGTCTTCATCCGGGCGTGGGACCGGCAGTAGCGCCAGAGGCCTATGCTTCATTGGGAGTAACAGATGTAAGTAAGTAAGGTGAAAAAATATATATGTAGAATTAAGAATATTCTAACTATAATCATAGTAAAACACATAATTACGTAATTACATCATCAATCATGAAAATAATGAATTTCTATCGATCAGCTTAAAGTTTATTCATCAATCAATGTTTAATCTTTTGACATTAGGGCTGCCTTAGATTTGTTGGACAGGACTGTTATCTGGGATTGTCTATTGAGGAACGGTGAGCTTGAGAAGTTCATTAACATCTTAGAGACCATATATACAAACACCTCAGGCAGAGTGAGGGCATACAACCACCCTTCTCCATTGTTCCATTCAAGCAGTGGGGTTAGGCAGCGTTGCCCAATCTCACCATTCCTCTTCAACTTTGCCATCGATGACATTCTGGAAACAGCTCTGATGGATGTAAGTAATGGTGGTGTGGATCTGTTGCCTGGAGAAAGACTTCTCGACCTTGAGTATGAGGATGATATTGTCTTACTGTGCGATAATGCCCAAGACATACAATCCTCACTTAATCAGTTGGCAATCAGTGTCCGTAGGTATGGTATGTGCTTCGCACCTTCGAAGTGCAAAGTACTTCTACAAGACCGCCAGCATTCTAATCCTGTACTCACCCTGGGTGGTGGGCAGATAGAAGTAGTCGTGAAGTTCGTGTATCTGGGTAGCTGCATAAGTGCTGGTGGGGGTGTGAGTGATGAGATCAATGCACGAATAGTGAAAGCCAGAGCGGCTTATGCCAATCTGGGCCACCTTTGGCGCATTCGTGATGTTAGTCTGGCTGTAAAAGGTCGGATCTACAACGCGTTGGTGAGAGCAGTTTTGCTCTATGCTTGTGAAACCTGGCCTCTCCGAGTTGAGGACGTTAGACAACTCTCTGTGTTCGATCATAGCTGTCTCCGAAGGATTGCTGACATTCAGTGGCAACACCATGTTAGTAATGCAGAGGTTCGGCATCGTGTGTTCGGGCACAGAGATGATAATTCAATCGGTGTCACCATCTTGAAACACCGACTTCGGTGGCTTGGACATGTTCTACGAATGTCGTCCCAGAGAATTCCACGTCGTGGTCAGTGCATGACATGGTGTCGTGGTATGAAGGAAAGCTCCAAAGGACTGGCTTGTGTTGGTCCTTCACGACTCCCTGGTTGGGGTCTGAGAGATGGTGCTACACAGTGGCTAGAGACGTTATCAGATATGGCTGAGAATAGAAGCCAGTGGCGATCCTGCTGTAACCTTCTTTTACTTTCTTCATAAAAAGTGGTTGTACCTTTCCGTTTCCCCCCATTATTATTACCATTACTACACTACCTTACAATAATCTGTGGTCGTTATTGTCCTCTTTTTTTTTCTCATACGCATCTTACATTCTTTTTCTCTTCCACTTCTTATTGTTATGTGTGGCGCATATATATTTGGTGCCCCCTTGTACCAATATTTATGTATTCAACTAAATGAAACAAATCTCTATCAAAACTAAGGTAGAGATCATGAATTAATTGATGTTAGAGTTCTAGTGAGTTCTAGTGAGAAGTCGTGACCAGTGGAGCTAATCCGTGTCGGGTAGAGACAGGTATCTACCTCAGTACAATGGAAGTTGGCCGCGCAATTTCGTGGATTGGTTGATGTTAGACACTAACACCATTGGATGCCGGCTCAGTGGTCTAATGGTTAAGTGCTCAGGCGCGAAGCCAGTAGGTCCTGGGTTCGAATCCCGCGGAGTGCGGGATCGTGGATGCGCACTGTTGAGGAGTCCCATACTAGGACGAAACGGCCGTCCAGTGCTTCCAGGTTTCCAACGGTGGTCTGACATCAATTAATTCATAATCTCAACCAAAAACTTAACAATCTCCACAACCCCCATACTGATAAAACTAAGGTAATTGACCATGATCAATAAGTAATAATGACTAATATAATAATCAATATAACTCGAAATGATACATAGAAACAGATACAGTTTTCTGTGATGATTAGTAACAAATACAAAAAATAAAAGTTTAAAATAGTATCCTCACTAACAATGACCTTTAATTAATGAATATAATATAAGCTAATTGTTTTTTGGGAGGGGGGGGAATAAAAAATGTTCACAAATGTTGACAGTTATTAAATGACCTATTTTTCTAGATGTTATTTGTTTTGCATTATAGTGAGATTTTCTCAAAGGATTACTGGTTTCATTTCCCCCGGAGAGTGGGTTGGGAGGAGAAGGACGAGAGGGGGGAATTTGTTTTTTAAGAAATCTGAAAAGAACTTATCAACATTTTGTTAAACGATTGAATTCTAAACGTGAATTTTTTGTGTTGAATAATTTATCACGTACAAAGATAAACATTACAAAAAAATGTTTCATGTTACATTAAAAGAATTGCCCCCAAATGCCCTGGTACTGCCGAGAGTGGGAAGAGTCCGTCCTACTTCCCCCAAATGCTCTCACATGGCCATGAGCATACAACGACTATCATGAAAGTCCTACGCACTACCTTTCCGCGACATTACTATTGTTTACGAAATTGAGAGAACGAGAAGCGAATGCCGACGTTTCAACCGGGTTGGTGGACACGGAGAGTTCACCTAGGAGAGTTGGAAAACCCTGATTCCAAACCATTGGTGAACATGGGCTCCAGTATCCTCAAGGAATAAATGGCATATGAAATAATCGTTGGCCACCGACTACCATGGGGCTGCATCTCCTTACGATGCTTCATTACCTTGTGGATTAGACCTTTAGGTCAAAGGCTCCAAGTGCGTCCCACTAAGAAAACCACCTACTTCGATCTGGGCACCCTGTCAGTATCTCAGCCCTCACACAAGCGAATGATTTATGTGGCACATATCTGTTTGGTGACTCTTTGTACCAATATCTATGTGTTTAAATAAATAAATAAAAGAATTGTACAGTACTATCTAGTTTTTAATGAATACCTACCTGAAATGGATCTATGGTGTAAAATATGTTCATAGTGAATAATCTGTACAAGTCCCATGTGTTTAACTTTTAATATTTTCAATTTGTACCGTTATAGATAGTTGTTAGTAATGTGTTTGTGTAATGATTATTTAATAAACAATTACTGAAGGTGTGATTGGATAAATAATGAACATCTTTAAAACTTCTCACTGACAAGTTGGAATTATTAATGACGTTAAACATACATTGACAAATGATTATTATGCTGAATTACACGATCTAAACATATACCCCACTAGTGGGAGCATAAGAACAAACAGCTAAGTTCGCGCACAAGACTGAAGGCCATGGGTTCGAATCCCGCGAGCGGGATCGTGGATGTGCACTGCTGAGTAGTTCCATAATGGGACGAAACGGTCGTCCAGTGTTTCCAGAATTTCAATGGTGGCCTAACATCAAGCGCTTCATGATCTCAATCAAAAACGTAAATAATCTTTACAACCCTATACTTTAATAATTGAATTCATGAGACAATCTAAGCTAGTCCGCCATTGAGAAACTGGAAGCATTGGATGAAAATATCCTCGTAGTCTGGGATTTCTTGAAAGTTTTCGCCCACGACCTCGTATGCGGGACTGAAATCCAGGACCTTCAGTCTCGCGCGCAGAAGCTTAACCCTTAGACCACTAAATCGACATCGAACAGTGTTAATGTCTAACTTCAACTAATCTACAATATTAAGTGACCGTCCTCCATTGCTTTCAGTGAGTAATTGCCTCACAATAAACACGGTTAAACTTTAATTGTTAGGGCTTCATTGTTAATTCGAACAGTAATTCTAATTTA